ATATTACCTAACCTATAATAATCTCATAAAAAGAGTTTATAGTTGGTTTGTTTTTGATTTTAGTAGCCCACATAGTTAAGAAATTATTTTTAAAGTTACTATAAGAAGGGAAATCCTATAATGTACTAAGTACATAGTRTATAAGGCCTACTTAAACCTATCTAAACAAAATGATTACTACATTTGCCGTTTCTTCTGCTGGTATTATAATATTTTGACTTCTAATTTTATATTTATATTATTAGATATTGATTAAATTATGTTTATTTGATTCACAAATATAAAGAAGTTATTAAAATTTTAAATAATTAATTGTAATCAATAAAAACTTTGTATGCATTTTTGATATTGAAAAAACAAAAACAATGTCGTACAGTAAATTTGGTCGCTTAGCTTGGATTACAGCAGGAGTTTTACACTGAACAAAACAGTTATTGTTATGTTGTTTGTTTGTAAGACAGGAACAACACATGCAAGYGAGACATCCTCTTATATTGTATGATAAATTGTTACATTGAAGTAATTAAAAAATCGGCATTTGCCATCCAGGGTCTAGTTGATACTTTTGAGAGGATAGGTTAGCCAAATAACAAAAAATAATTTCTATAACATGGAGGTGAAATTCTAGGTTTCCAAATAGGATCTATTTTCTTAAGTCATTTTCTATAATTAATATTTAAAAAAGTCATATMCCAGTTTTACCTATGACTATCAACGCTATATTTTCTGTGTATGATATGGTTTGTAAAGCCATATTTAATAGAATACCRTAAGCACAAATTTTATGTTTAAAAATGAAAAATATATAATTGATACCTTTTGGATTTGTACAGCAAGTTCTCGAGTTGGCGACAAACATAACACTTGTGTATCTCTTAACTGAGTGTCTATAGATTGTAACATTGCGATAGAAAATGTAGCCGTTTTACCAGTTCCTGATTGAGCCTGGGCAATGACATCGCGTCCTTTGATCATTGGCTTGATGGCTCTTTGTTGGATAGCTGATGGGCGTTCAAAACCTGAAAGAACACAATTCAACAATATAGAACCTTTACAATAGAAATTACATTACAATGGCAATGCGCAATGACCATGATTGGAAAAAATTCACTTACCGTACGAGTATATCCCACGAACCAAGTCTTCCCGAAGTTTCATATTATCGAACGTCGTCAGTACTTCGACATCTTCACTGGTTTCAAACTCGACGTGCGATAAATCTTCGGTAAGTAGTCCTGTACGTCTGACGGCCATTTTGTAAGTTATAGTATTTAATAACTATATTCACGAATAAAAATTGTTAACAACCAGTCATCTACTAAGAAAACAATGTAAAAATGATCGAATCGTCAACAAAAGTCAAAAATCGTTAGAGAGTAGAGACAGTTCTAAACTCATACAATGACAATTATTACAAYCAATTGCTAAGCGTCCAGCGAGCGGTGACGCCGTGACGGGAAAATGAGGTATTGTTAACAACAACATTTTAGCGTGTGTTCAAGGTGATAACAGCTAACAAAGACTATACCAGGTTACCGGTTAGAAAGTCCGATGGCTTTTATACCAAACTATTTGCCGCCAAAAGTTTGAAATTCAAATATAATATGTATGATATTAAGAAAATGTGAAAATAGTGTGTAACTACTGGAAGTCTAGAAGCTAACTACAGTTTCTTAGAAATACAAAATATTATTACTATTTATTGAAACGAATCATTATGATACTGTAGATATAAAGTTTATTCTAAAAATCCAGTATTACCATAATGAGTATCTTGACTTCCTAGGCAAATCAATAAAATTAAAGATGTTTTACAACAGAAACCGTTTCAATAATTTCAAGCTAATTACATTTAAAAAAATATTTTCATAGAATATATTTTTTTAAATTTTAAAATCATGATTTTTATTTTTACTTTTATTTAAATATTATATTTTAAATTTTTGCTAACAAC